ATTGGAGTGGTCGAAGGAAACCCTTTGTCCAGGGGTGGACACACACACACTCACACATACACATGCTGGCAGTGCGTCACTGGAGCACCTGTAGCTTGTGTGTGTGTTGTCTTCTGATCAATGAATCTGGATTCTCAGCCTGGTGGTGAGCATTTATTCAGCATCACGGATATCCTTTTTGACGTGCGCTATCAGGATGGTTGTTGACATTTGCTGCTACATCAAGGACTCCATTCGGTGTCTTGAGTTGTTGGAACCTCGGACGGCCTTTTTCATTACAAAAAGCTCGTAGTAGCATCCTTGCTCCTAGTAGCAAGGCCAGGAGCCCCTAGTAGCGTCCTTGCTCCTAGTAGCGATGCCCTTTGCTCCTAGTAGCGTCCAACAGTTTCTTATGTGAATCATTAAGTCTTCTTTCCATGCATAATGCGGAACGTGGAAGAAGCTCTGACCAGGCTTGCAGGTGGAACCAAGCAAAACTGAATAGGGGTTTGGGTGTGGAGCGCTGCTCTAAGGTCCGGCGACAAAGCTCCTTTGGTGGCCTGGAAACTGATGCTTTGGCTTTGCAGGTGTATGTGTGTATGTGCAGTAGGTGCATGCTGCAGGTGCTTTTCAGAACCTCTGACATTCTCTCACCACTTTAACCTTGCAGACTCTTGCACGCCCTTTCAATGAAGCAATGCCAAGGAATTGCAATGTCATGTTGTGTGCCCTGAAGTGGTTGGGCCTCCTCTGCAAGTCCCGCTTGGCGCGTTTGGTGCTCTTGCTTACTGGTCGCGTAGTGCTGCTTGCGGATGTGGCCACAGCCTATCTGGAGCGTCCGACGTGCTTTACGCAGTGCTTCATGCAGTTTCAAGGTGTTTTGTTTTCTCTCAATAAGCTAGTAGTAACAATAAGCTAGTAGTAACAAGTGCATCGCTTCTAGTAACAAGTGCCTTACTAGTAGTAACAAGAAGCTACTAGTAACAATATATATTACATATATTCTTTTCCTTTTCTCCTTTTCTTTGGACCTGTCGACTCTACACCTTTCTTGCCTTTCACCGTTGGGAAGGTCTACGCCTTTGGTGAGACGCCCCAATTCACGCCAATCGCAGGAGATGCACTTTGCTGATGCCCTAAAGCCACAAGAACTCGAGGACGGGGACGGGTCCGACGGGTTCGACTGGTGCTTCTTCGCTCGCTTGTCCAAACGCGTTCGGAAAAATCAGGAACCAAATAAAACATATTTATATATTGTTACTAGTAGCTTCTTGTTACTACTAGTAAGGCACTTGTTACTAGAAGCGATGCACTTGTTACTACTAGCTTATTGTTTCTAGTATATATATATATAAATAGCCATGCCCTTTGTTCCTAGTAGCGTCCTTGCTCCCCTTCAAGGAAAATCCCCCCGCCCTCAGGCAGGGGGAGCTTCCGACAAAGAAGCCTGGGCTATCCTGCGTCCCGGCTAGGAGCTTCCTATTGCTAGTAGCGAACTACTCCCTTGCATACTTATATATATATAACTAATTAGACGCCTACATAACCAAATAACGGGGCAGGGCCATGGACTAACAAACATGAAAAATAACAAAGGTGTTACTAATAGCGTCCTCTTGTTAACTAGTAGTAAGAATGCTACTAGTAGCGATGCCAGGAGCCCCTAACAGCTTCTTGCTCCTAGTAGTAAGGCCAGGAGCCCCGTTCGTAGCGTCCTTGCCCCGTCTTGTACACTTTCTGAGTCTCGGAGTTGGTCCGGTCTGGTTTAGAGCGTCACGCCCGCAATCGGAACGTTCAGGGTGGACCCGTACTCTTCCTTCCTCAACTCTTGCATGTCCTGGCGCTTCACATGAAGCAGGCAGCTTGCGGAATTTCCGCCAAACATCTAGCGATGTGGACTCAAGACACTTCCTTCTGCTTGAAGACTCCTTTTTAGCACTTCCTTCCACGTCTTATGAAGGGCAGAAAAGGAATGAGTCGAAGAGATAGGAGTACATAACCTCGGCGGACCGGGTGCACACAGGACTCAGAGAACTGAGAAACTCCAATATGGCCAGGTAAGATGAAACATTTTGTTCTTTTGCTCAAAGAGTTGGAAGTATGATGAATGGAAAAGAAGGAAGAGAGCGTCAGGATCCAAAAAGACAATATAGTGTATTATATATAATATGTAGAATCTATGTGTGTGAAGTAGATATTATATATATATAGACATATATGCACACGCCTGCTTTCGAATGCTTTTGCTTTTCACTTCTTCTGACTGATGGAATGACTAAGACTACTCCTTGCGCAGGCACCGCCTGAGGGAGCACCTCGAGAACTTCAGGTCGCCTTGAAAGCAGTTTAGGGGTGGGGGTGGGGGGTAGGGGACTGAGGAAGCTGAGTAGACCTTGGGACGAAGCGCCTGAGCCTTGAATGAAGGTGTTTCTTTTTTCCAAGCGTTTATTTGTGTTTTTTTCAGATAGCGAGAGCTATCGTTCATTTTTGCTTGAGGGCTGTTTTTTGAAAACAGATTTGATAAGGCAGGCCAGGATTTTAAACTCTGATCAGGGCACCTTAGCGGCATATTTGCTTCTTGGCCTCGCAGAGAAGCTGGACACTCAGAGCTGCCCAACCTATTTGCATAAGTTAAACGGTCCTCCTCCGAGGCTTCGCGAGCTTTTCCGGCGTGCAGAAATTCGCACCCGGGCTAATTTGGCAGAAGCGGTTTTAGAGTGTAGTAGCTTCTTGTTACTACTAGTAAGGCACTTGTTGCTAGAAGCGATGCACTTGTTACTACTAGCTTATAAAGATCTATTTTTTTACATCTTCACTTTGGTTTTCTACGTGCAAGTTCCAGTGATCTCAGTTCACTGACGTGCGTTCGCTGAGGTGGCCTAAATTGCTTTGAGGGGGCGTCACCATTGCCACTCCTTCTTCTGCGGGCTATGTGGATGCCTTAAATTTGCTCTGATTCTTTATTATCCTTTTTTGGAGGGAAGTGCTAGTAGGTTGGAGGCCATCACTGTTAGGTTGGAGGCCATCGCTAGGAGGTTGGAGAGCATCGCTCTTAGGTTGGGAAGTCAGCTGGCATTTGGGCAGTCTATTCTCAATACCCAATGTGTACATCATGTTGACACAACAAAGTGTTACACATTTCTATACTTCACGGAATACTCTGATGTGCTTCAGCTGTTTCAGCTTCTTTTCTTGAAAACTTGAGGTGCTTCCTGGGGACCCTGGTTTGTGCATACCGCGCGCCCAAGGTGGCTACCCAAGACCCCCTATGTTTCATTTTAGTCTCTGAAGGACAAAATGAAGTCACGATCGCTAAAAGCCATTCAGTGGGGCTTTGTTGAATGAAGTCCACGAATTGAGTGGGACTTTCTTAGCTTTGGGGCACTTTGGTGCAGTTGTAGTGACATGACACTCATGACTCGCCAAAGGCTCTGAACAGCTTCCCTGCAGGCGGACGATACGCACAAGCAGGTTCTCGAGATGTTCCACGACACGGAGCTTTTTGGCAGCTTGCCCTAGTTGAATCAGTCCTCAACGAGGAGTAACTACACCATTTAGCTCGAAGCGAGATGAAGGGAGGGATTGGCAGGGGGTAGGAGCAAGGACGCCACTAGGGGCTCCTGGCCTTACTACTAGTAACAAGAAGCTACTAGGGGCTCCTGGCATCGCTACTAGTAGCATTCTTACTAGTAACAAGGTGTCGGTGACGTAGGTCCGAGTGGTGTCCATCATAGCCATCAGGTGTTGTGGGCATCTTGGTGTCCATCCTTTTGTCAGAGGGCCGCCGTGAAAAGGGTGCCAAGCTGCCGCAGACGGTGATCTCTCTTTGCGTTCAGGTTGGGAGGGTTCGCTGATTTTTGCTTCGGCCAAGTGAAGTAGTTAGCTTGCAAACTTAAGTTTCCCTCAAAATCCTGCGTTCAGTTACTAGAAGCTAACTAGATGCTATATAACTAGTAGCTAGGAGCTTACTCCCTGACTTAATTAAGTATGTGCCTACTTGATTAAGTAGGAGTGGGCTTAAACAAGTATTTCAAGCATTTTGGCATGCTGGCATTTTTGGTCGAAGTGGACGTCCTCATCGTGTGAAGTTTCAGAGTAGCAGGCGGTGAGAATTTGCAATAGCATTGCTCGCATCGACTCTGCCTCAGTGTGAACAAGCGCTAAACAATATAACTTCAAATGAACAAGCAACTGCAAAACAACTTCAAATGAACAAGTTCTAGAGGCACCTTGATGCAGCTCAGGACCTCGTAACAGTGCAGAAGACACTGGGTGCCAGCAGGCAGCAGGAGAGCTTGATTTCATGCCATGCATGGCCCATTTAGTAACAGGTGCCACGCTAGTAGTAACAAGGACGCTACTAGGAACAAGTGCATCGCTAGTAGTAACAAGTGCCTTACTAGTAGTAACAAGAAGCTAGTAGTAACAGGTGCCACGCTAGTAGTAACAAAGTTCGCCATTAGAATTATTGAATTATTGTTCGCAATTCCAACTGACCCGCCGTGGGTAAGAAGGCAGAAATGCAATAAACCTCAGCCTTCTCCCAATTTATTCAATCTGTCTGTTTGGTCGTGCGCTGTTGACGATAACCTCGGAATTGTGAGGAGTTCTACCACCTACTGGTCTCTTTGTTGGACTACTGCGTGGCACGTTTGCCGGCTAGCATGGCCAAACCAACAGGCTGTCAGACATGAAAACATGCAACACAAGTACTGTGGCCGAGTATCTAATCCATTCAATATGACGAGCAGAGCAGGTCAAGCAGAGGAAAGCGATTTGCTGCATGACGCTGGGCTAATAGGACAGCGTAACACAAGTGGCTTGCAGGAGTGATTTAGAGTGCTGCTGTACTAGCTGTTTGAATTGCCAACTCAGGAAGCGGTCGTTTTGCTTGGCTGCGACCTTATGCTCACATGAGGGTTGTCTAGCGCGAGCCAGGTCTTTGTTTTGTCAGGAGCCGTCTTCAACTGAGGCTTTTACTGCCTTCAAGAACCGGAGAACCAAAGCATCCTGTGCTATGGCGAGGGTCAGGCGTTGCTTACACGCCTAGCCGCCCTGTCGGAAGCCTAGCCGCCGCTTCGCTTCTTTTTGGCTTCGACCATTGGCCTAGGATGACTAGGATGCCTGTGTTCTCGCATTTGTTTGGCGCTTCAAGGCCTTTGCACTACTTCATGGATGAGCGCGGCAAGGCCATTCTGTTTCCCACCATCTTGGCATCTTGTGACTTGGCCGCAATCCGAAGCATGACAGTTTAAGCTGCTTTTTTCTGGACTTTGTTTTCCTTTCATTTTGCCTACTTCAAGGAGTCCTTTACCATCTTTGATTCCACTTGGTACCTTTTGTCTTGTACTGGTTCTTTGCAGCCTTTATTTTTCCTTTGAGGCTTTAAGTCGGAACAGAACTTGGCAGTCCTCAGGCCACGTCACCAATAAGTTGCAACGGAATGTCTCAGAAATCCAAGGTTTTCAATACTTATTACACGCCTTTGAAGGTCAGAGATGAACCTGTCGTTGGTATGCACCTTCCTGGCTGCGCAGATGGCCCAGGGAGAAGAGGCACGGATGGAAAGAAACTGTAGCAAAGCCACACTTGATACTAGTGATGCTGTTGCAGCACAAAAAAAGCTATGTGCAGCTGTTGACATGGTCAACATGGAATCTAACTGATGCCGACTCCACAAATGTTGCATCCTGCTGTTGTCAAACTTGTTATGAGAATGAACAACTAGGAACAAAGGGCATCGCTACTAGGGGCTCCTGGCCTTACTACTAGGAGCAAGGACGCTACTAGGAACAAGTGCATCGCTTCTAGTAACAAGTGCCTTACTAGTAGTAACAAGGACGCTACTAGGAACAAGTGCATCGCTTCTAGTAACAAGTGCCTTACTAGTAGTAACAAGGACGCTACTAGGAACAAAGGGCATCGCAACTTGTTGCACTTCAGAAGGCCGAACATGCAGGTGCCGCCGGCCACGCCAGAGGGGTTGCCGGCCTTCACATGCCGCTTCCCACCAGAACTTTGGAAGGCGACTGGATGTGTTGCTTCGTAGCAAAGGGTGAGGCAGCAGGTCTTCAGTTCCAATGTGAAGTCATAAGGACATTGTGACTTGTGGAGGATTTCTAGTCTTTAGTGAATGCATTTTCCATTCCCAAGCTTAGAGATTGACGAGCACTTCTCAAGTGTGAGACTTTTGCTTAGAACAACTTTTGGGACATGTTCTTCTTATTGATATAATCTGGAGAAACGTTCATAATATCAGTGCCAACATCTTATCTTAGGGCATGTGAACCAAGAGCAACGTCGTACATATAGCGGAAATCTAGAGCAGCACGGAGCAAGCAACTTCCACTATTCCTTCCCATAGCAACACAGTCAGTTGCAGAAGGAGATGGGGTGCTGAAGATGAACTTCTGCATGAAAATAGCAATTCCATCAATTGTAGATTGCTTGTTCCTAGTCACACAGTTTTGTATCAACGTATTGGACTCATGAACCTGTTCAGCTTCAAAACATGCAAAGGTTCCAAGTGCAAAAAGCACGTCGTTGAGTTAAACACATTTGGGCTTCAACAGGGCTTTAAGCATTCGCAGCTTGGTATTTTGGGAGAAAGGGACAGTTAAGTAAGAGTCCACACCGATAACGCTCTCCAAGTGAACAGTAGCTGATGTGTCATGTGTCACACAGCACCTTCACCTTCGAAACTCTTATTTGTGTAATGTACAATAATGTCTTGTTTCAAGATAATTTTCCAGCGACAGGAAGCACTGGCCTTCTTTGATGGAACTTCAGAGGTGGGCTCGTGAATCTTATGCAGACAGTTCAACATTGTTCCGCAGACATCAAACACGAATTCAATGTCGAAAATGCACCAAAAGAAGTCACGAGCAGTCAACAAGTCATGGAAAGATGCCCACCGTTGGAGGCTGAGGCCGAGGCTGACTCGGCCAAAGCAACCGAGGCGTGCGAAAGATGACTTGGTGCTTGGTGTCCTTCTGGTCGTGTAGCTTTTGCTTTCCTTTCTTCTTCAGACCGACCTTTAGACTTGTGCTTAGCAAGGCACTTGTTCCTAGTAGCTTCTTGTTACTACTAGTAAGGCACTTGTT